TGTGGCTCAGTCTCTGACCATTGGCGGTTTCCACCTGCCAATAAGAATAAAAAAATAAAGCATATTTGCCGATAGACTTGGTGAAGCACTTATATTTGCATTGTATTGTTTCAATGAATTTGTCTATTATCTCTAATAGACTATTAGAGATCAAAGTCTATTATCTCTAATAGATTTTACCTGCATTTTTATTCATTACAATTTGTTGTAAACAAAGCTGGAAACAAGGCAATCTAGTCACTGCAGGTGAGCTGTATACAAGTACTGAACAGCTCAATGTTTGTTTTATTTGTAAAACTATCAAGTATAGGGAGCCGGTCGGCCGAGCGGACAGCACGCTGGACTTGTGATCCTGTGGTCCTGGGTTTGATCCCAGGCGCCGGCGAGAAACAATGGGCAGAGTTTCTTTCACCCTATGCCCCTGTTACCTAGCAGTAAAATAGGTACCTGGGTGTTAGTCAGCTGTCACGGGCTGCTTCCTGGGGGTGGAGGCCTGGTCGAGGACCGGGCCGCGGGGACACTAAAAAGCCCCGAAATCATCTCAAGATAACCTCAAGAGATCTACTAGGAGCATAGTCTCTTTTTATTTGTTTAAGACTTGATTTAATGTCTAATGGAGCTCAGTTTGAGGGATAATGTATGTAGCCAGAGCTCTGTTGACGCACTTGGACTTGTTCTCATCCAGGACTTTCCACTGTCAGTGTGGTATACCGGTAATTGATTGTCAAATATAGTATTTCTGAGGCAATGGACTTTGTGATGGTAGACTAGTTTAGAAATCTTATCTTCATTCCCTCTGTCTCTTAGCTTTTTCAGACTCATATTCTCATCACAAGCGCTTGGAACCAATGCAGTCTTAAAATATTCAGTCTGTTTTCCCCCTCTAGTGTTTTAGCAAAACCATGCATGGCTGTGTTAAATGTGTTCTCAGCTGATATTTGTTGTTTTAATTTACTGGTTAACATGAAGCATCTTAACAGTTGCTATTGACGGTTTCTTTTTGAGCTTATTGACTTGAGGAGTGTGTGCTTTAGCTGCCAAGTAACATTATGTTTTGCATGTTTGTGAATGTTCCTTTGTTGCTCAAGAAACTGCTCCCTTACATGTTTTTTTTTTTTTAATTATATGCCATTCACTTTGTGATAATTTAAACTATCGAGATAATAACCCATAATTTTGCACATCCATTTGTTAGGCGTTTTGTGTTAATAGGAGCCATAACCTTTTATTTTGGCATAATATTTTTGTTTACCAATCTAATTCACCCTACCCTCTTTCTTATAGGACAATTTAGACATCATGGGACTTTACAAGCCTGAAATATTTTGTTGATGAGGTAAAGACCATACAATCCTGTGCATGCTCAAAGGTAGCAGGGAGGAATGACTGACACAAGAAACCGAGGGATGAGATCATTTTCCACCGACAGGTTACCTCTTGTTTGTGGCGGGTCAGATGCTGAGGCTCAGTGTCTGGCATGAGGTCTTAGTCTCAGTCGGCGTTCAGGTTTTGGCTGAATTGTCGATGACACGTATTGTCTCTTATTTACCCGCGGACTCGTCACAAGTACTGTAGTGGCATGGCAACTTTTTAGGGTCTCATAGACCTCAAAATATCTTTAAAAATATACATATATAATTAAAATTTGCAGTGGCTGTACAAACAATGATTTTTCAGTACTGTATGGTACGTAACCTATTTGTGTTAACTAATGGCTTTTAAAGTAATTTAATTACAGTATATTCATCATATTTGGTAACGTTATGGAATTTGGAAACCGGTATTTATTTATATCACTGTTATACATGTTAAAATGTGTTTCAGTAACAAACGAGACTTCATGTGAGTACTAACACTGAGCTGACGACATTACCCTGCAAGGTCACGCATGCCTACATCTTATTACCTTCAGTTCTGGTAGCTTTGTTCTAGGGTTCTGTTGCCTGGTGTGCGTGTCACGTTGGCACATTCAATTCTCTCTGTGACTTGCGCCTCCTGCATGCTTAGTAGAGGAACCACATCATTGGCACCCTTGTTACTCTTGGTTCCTTCTGTGATGATCTCTTCCCTTCTACTATAATTACTGTGTCAGGGGGGTCCTCTGATCAATGTGGATATGTTGTTTTCTCTCAATTTTATTCCTGGTTTTGGCATAATAGGGATATCAATGGTTTTTCAGGAGTGGTCTCCCTTTGTGGGGTTGTTTATCTAGCTCTTGTAAAAAGCCTTTCAGCAGTAGACGCAGGATGTCGTATCTGTCTCGAGAGCGCGAGCATTATATATAAAACACTGCTCCTCGACAAGATACCTTGCAGTTTTTATTAATGTAAGTTACACTAATGCTGATACTAACATCACTAGGTTCTTGTCTGCGTAGTGAAGATTTGCAGCAACACTTATTTTCCAAACGTTGTGTGTAGATTGACCCAGCTGGAGGTGCAAATAGTGAAAATATGTAATAAAGTATGTGAAAGCACCATTGCTGTATAATTGTTCCCTTCATTGCCTTGCTTTGTATACAGTGTTGATATTTTGTATAAAAGTGGTGACTTCTACCAGTGTTTGTACAGCATGTTCGGCAAGTAACTGTAGTTCTCTCTCTCTTGTTAGCGGTCAGCTCCTGCCTACTGTACCTTTCTTTTGCTCTACTTCCTCGTTAATGTGACTCCCTATTCTTGTTCCTCATTGTTGTCACTCCCTATTCTTGTACCACGTCAATGCTGTGACTCCCTATTCTTGTACCACTTCAATGCTGTCACTCCCTATTCTTGTACCACTTCAATGCTGTGACTCCCTATTCTTGTACCACGTCAATGCTGTGACTATGTATTCTTGTACCACTTCAATGCTGTCACTCCCTATTCTTGTACCACCTCAATGTTGTCACTCCCTATTCTTGTACCACCTCAATGTTGTCACTCCCTATTCTTGTACCACTTCAATGCTGTCACTCCCTATTCTTGTACCACCTCATAGCTGTACCCTCCCATTGTTGTACCACCTCATAGCTGTACCCTCCCATTGTTGTACCACCTCATAGCTGTACCCTCCCATTGTTGTACCACCTCATAGCTGTACCCTCCCATTGTTGTACCACCTCATAGCTGTACCCTCCCATTGTTGTACCACCTCATAGCTGTACCCTCCCATTGTTGTACCACCTCATAGCTGTACCCTCCCATTGTTGTACCACCTCATAGCTGTACCCTCCCATTGTTGTACCACCTCATAGCTGTACCCTCCCATTGTTGTACCACCTCATAGCTGTACCCTCCCATTGTTGTACCACCTCATAGCTGTACCCTCCCATTGTTGTACCACCTCATAGCTGTACCCTCCCATTGTTGTACCACCTCATAGCTGTACCCTCCCATTGTTGTACCACCTCATAGCTGTACCCTCCCATTGTTGTACCACCTCATAGCTGTACCCTCCCATTGTTGTACCACCTCATAGCTGTACCATCCCATTGTTGTACCACCTCATAGCTGTACCCTCCCATTGTTGTACCACCTCATAGCTGTACCCTCCCATTGTTGTACCACCTCATAGCTGTACCCTCCAATTGTTGTACCACCTCATAGCTGTACCCTCCCATTGTTGTACCACCTCATAGCTGTACCCTCCCATTGTTGTACCACCTCATAGCTGTACCCTCCCATTGTTGTACCACCTCATAGCTGTACCCTCCCATTGTTGTACCACCTCATAGCTGTACCCTCCCATTGTTGTACCACCTCATAGCTGTACCTTCCATTAGCTGTACCACCTCATAGCTGTACCTTCCATTAGCTGTACCACCTCATAGCTGTACCTTCCATTAGCTGTACCACCTCATAGCTGTACCTTCCATTAGCTATACCACCTCATAGCTGTACCTTCCATTAGCTGTACCACCTCATAGCTGTACCTTCCATTAGCTATACCTCCCCATTGCTGTCCTCATTACTGTACATCTGCTCTGCTGTACGTTCCAGTTGTTGTACCTCATGACAATAGTTCTCCTGTAGTTCTTCATTGATGTGCCTCACCATTATTATTATCCCTATCCTTGCTGTACCTCCTCATTGATGCAACCTCATAATTACTCTACCTCATCAATAATGTATGTCATCATTTGATGTATCTTATTGCTGTACCTGACCATTGATGTACTTGGTCACTGCTGTACCTGGCCACTGATGTACTTGGTCATTGCTGTACCTCGCCACTGATGTACTTGGTCACTGCTGTACCTCGCCACTGATGTACTTGGTCATTGCTGTACCTCGCCACTGATGTACTTGGTCATTGCTGTACCTCGCCACTGATGTACTTGGTCACTGCTGTACCTCGCCACTGATGTACCTCACCACTACTGTGCGTCATCATTGGTGTACCTCATCCTTGCTGTACCTCATGATTGCTATTCAGCCCTCACAGTTTCTTCACTGGCCACGTTTAAAGTGCAGTCTAGAGATATTCCATTTCCATCCTTTTGATAGGATGGAGATAAGAATAATGTGCAATATTTATAATTCTGTTAGTTTGTGGCTGTACAAAACTTCATAATTCTTGAACAAATCCACAAGGACCGTGATGAGGGTTCGAACCCACGCCCGGGACCACCTCGTCACGGCCCTCGTGGATTTGTTTATTGGTTATATCATGCTATTGTGATTTCGGTGTGTATTCATAATTCTTAGTTTTTAGTACAAAGGAACCCGCATGGATAAAGAAAATATGTAAGTTCTGTATAGTTTGTTCTATGTAACAATGTGTTCTTCAGTATGTGCTGATGAGTCTTGGTGCACAGATGCTAATATACAGAACATTGTTGTCTTCATTTTTCCACATGGATTCTGCTGTGTATTGTATTTTTTATTGTAATTTTGTCTTGTATAGCTCAAGCAGTATTTTTAAACTTTAGATAAACAGAATGAGAGGTCTAAAAAGAATTATGAAAAGGATTTGCTTTATGAATGATAAGGATCTGTCTGATATTTGCTTTGGATCTGCAGGTGGTGGCGGGTGGGCGAGTTCGTCGTGAGGTGTGTGCTGGCTGCAACAACCCGGTGTTCCTCGCTGAACGCTTGTTGGTAGGTTCCCCGGGTCAGCTGATGCATCGGACGTGTTTCCGCTGCGCTCGATGCAATACACAGCTGACCTTGGCGAGCTACTATGAGACAGAAAAGGGACAATTTTGTTGTGAAACCTGTCCCGATGAAGAACGCAATAATATGCTGGAAGTTGTTGACAATGCCAGTATTTCCAGCCACACTTCAAGTAAACATAAACGACGATCCTCGGCTTCCGACTCGGATTCCCAATCTGATTCTAACAGTGAAGATTCTGGGGAAGAGAGCGATAGTTATAGTCACGATGTGGAGACATTACTCGAGGACAAGACCCACCGTGTTGACACCCGCAGTGACTCTTTATCACACTCGCCTAAATTCACTCCTCAGCCACTTAAACCTCGTACTGTGTTTCTTTCACAAACCTTAGAAGGGAATGATATAAACCATGACTTAAACACAAAAACAGAAGAATCTAAGGCAAGTGAAGGAATCAGTCATTTTTCGCATGTATCATCAGCCTTATTTGGATCGAAGGAGAGAGATTCCAGAGCAACAGCCTCTGGCAACTCCCTCCGAGACCACTGTGATGAAGCCAAAGGATCAATAACAGACCCACCTGAGAAACTAACCTTGGACACAGGGCAAAAAGATAGAACTAACAATGTTACTAATGGTGCACCCAAGACCTCCTCGTCTATTGTTGCCCAGCGTCTCAAATTGTTTAGGGAAATTAGTGATAAGAGTGTTAGCTCAGATAAAATTAATACCAGTGTTGAAAAACGTGAAATAAAATATAATTATTTGCATTTAAATAAAATAGAAAAGGAAACAAGTGGTGTCACTAAAGAGGAAAACGAAAGTGTTGTTGAGGATCCGGATAAGGATAAAAATACTAAAGATATCAATAGTAAGTTTGTGCACGTAGATGAGATGGACTCAGACCTGATCGTTAATGAAGAGGAAAATAAAAAGTTAATGGACTCGCTAGAAAATTATAAAACAATCGGTGAAAGGGAATCGTCGCCCATTTCTGAGAATGTAAGGGAAGGTACTGAACCATCACCCAATTCTGAAAAAGTCAGTGAAAATATTGAACAATTACCCAACTCTGAAAAAATAAACGAAAGTATTGAAAAAGTACCTAACTCTGTAAATGATAGTGAAAGTATTGAACACGAAAAAGTAAGTGAAAGTATTGAACACAAAAAAGTAAGTGAAAGTATTGAACACGAAAAACTACGTGAAAGTATTGAACACGAAAAAGTAAGTGAAAGTGTTGAAACTTCACCGACCATTCCATCCATATGCATCACCCGAAATAAAGAGGAAGTCAGTATTGCCCGTGTTGCAGACTCGAGCAGGGAACGCGATGGCACTGATGACCAGCACGACTCGGACACCATGAGCCTTGAAGAACCACCACTTGGTAAAGATGTACTCAAAGAATATAATCCATTTGAGGATGATGAATCTCAGCAAGATGAAAGTGGCGTTGCAATATGCCATTCCGATGGTGGCAGCAATGACGATAATCTCATTGCCACTTGTGTCTCGCAGGACAGTGGTGCGGACATCTCTTCTGCTTCCTTGCACTCCGTCCAGTATCCAGAAGATCTTAATCCTTTTGGAAGTGACGACGAGAGTCACGTTGAGGATGCCGCAGCAGACAAAGCAGGTGTGGCAGAACGGTCCGAACCTCAAGATAACGATAATCAGAAAACTACAAAGAAACTTATCAAGGTAAACATGAACCCATTTGAAAGTGATGAGGATGAGGAATTTGAAAAGGAAATGAATAAAGATAACAAGAAAACCGAATTGAAGAACCTAAATCCCTTCTGGAGCGATGATGAAGCCGGAGAAGAGAGTGATAATACCAAATTAACACCAAGTAAAAACAAAATTAAACCTCCTAGACCACCACCACCAACCTTGGCCAGAAACAGGTAGGTCAAATGTTGTAAATTAAGCAGTCTGAGACATTTTTATGTTCCCAGTACAGTGTATCTAGCAACAGTGTCATGTTGAGCCAAGAGGGAAGGAGACGGCTGCTACACCCTCTTGACTGCTGCAACAGGTTGTAGCAGCAGCAGTCACTGGGTCGCTATTATAGTATGGTAAAAAGTGACAGATTTCTTGTAAATACTTCAGAGGATAAAAGGCACTGGATGAGAATGTTAATAAGGAAGGTATGCAAAGTGTTCTTTCAAAAAGTATTGGCAGCTGATGGTGAATAGCAACTGAAGGTTTGCTAATGTAGGTGTGGGGTAATATTTGTGATAATATGGAGAGCATCCTCCCAGTTCTGCGGACCTTCATGCAGATGTATGCAGTTCCGCATAGTTCTTATCTATGCAAGATAAGATTAGCAAACATTTTATATTATGGTCAATATTGAGATCAATTTTTATCAGATCATTTTGTTTAAAATATTCTTAGAGTTTTCCACTGTCCAGACTTGTTCTTCTTATGTTCTTTTCTGCAGTAATCTTTAAAAATACTGAACAAATTAAGGCAATCTTAAGGAGACATACAACATAGAGCATGCACTAAGAAATCACATTAAAGTGATGTAGTCCCCATGGTGCAGTGGTAAAGCACTCACCCAGCGTTTCACAAGCGCTTTGGCCTGGGTTTGTATCCTCGCCAGGGAAGATTAACTGGGCACCAATCCTTAACTTCAGCCTCTGTTCACCCTGCTGTGAATGGGTACCTGATTGTTAAATGATTTGGCAGGTCGTATTCCAAGGAATATTAGGATTAAGGACCTGCCTAAAATGCTATGCGTGCTAGTGGTTTTACAAGACTGTAAGACTCTTGTAGTCTTGTAGAACTCAGTTCCTACGACGGCGCTGTAGACTTTCAGCGCCGTGGAGAGGGGGGACCTGCTGCATGGGTAACAGCTTCTCCCCCGAATCAACCTACCCTGGCTTTGCGCCCTGGTGAGGCCACTCCAGGCTGACAACCAGGGCGCAACTCCATAGTGTCCTGAGACTGATGGATGCCTACTACTAAGACTCTTGTATATATGAATAAATCGATATCAATGAAAATCAGCAGGAGCCGTGAGCGTGTGCTTGGGAGTACCCAGTGTTGTATGTTAGACCCTCCTCGTGGCTCCTACTGATTTTTTTTTTTTTTTTTTTTTTTTTTTTTTTTTTTTTGAGATATATACAAGAGTTGTTACATTCTTGTAGAGCCACTAGTACGCGTAGCGTTTCGGGCAGGTCCCTGGAATACGATCCCCTGCCGCGAAGAATCGTTTTTTCATCCAAGTTCACATTTTACTGTTGCGTTAAACAGAGGCTACAGTTAAGGAATTGCGCCCAGTAAATCCTCCCCGGCCAGGATACGAACCCATGACATAGCGCTCGCGGAACGCCAGGCGAGTGTCTTACCACTACACCACGGAGACTGCTCTCCGATTATTAATAGTAAAGCATCTTAAACCTTAGTGTGTGTGTGTGTGTGTGTGTGTGTGTGTGTGTGTGTGTGTGTGTGTGTGTGTGTGTGTGTGTGTGTGTGTGTGTGTGTGTAAGTAACACTAGATTTTATTTTTAGTTTCTTCCCAAATGGCAGTTACAATTTGGAATATTTAGAAAAATCTTACAGAAAAAATCTGTATATTTCCTTGGATATATGGAATTTCAAATAGATTTAATTCAGATATTGATGTCAGTGTCTCCAGTTTAGATAGTTAGCCCTCATTTTTAGATTTACTTACAGAATTTAAAGAAAAATATTAATAAATATGGGCAAAGGAAGAAAAAAAATTTCAAACTTAATGTTTTAATCAATATTTTTAGGCCCAGTGATGTCATATGCTTCAGAACTGTTCAAGATAATGTAACTTTTAACGTACAGTAACAAAGTACTATATATGTACTTTTATTAGATATTAATAGCCATAGAAATGACAGAGCTTGGTGTTTTTAATTATATATATATATAGATAGAACCCATTTATCATAAATTTGTAGTGTGAAAAAGGTTAATTAATGCAAGCAGTTGTCTGGGGGGCAGGGATGCCAGATTGGAAGCCCAATTCGGTTACCAATTAGGATAATTGTATTCAATTAAAAAAGCCATCTATGTATGTCGCTACTTACTACTTTTTCGGCTACAGTTAAAATAAGCTGGGCTGTTTATTCTAAAAAGCAAATCAATCGGAGAAAAAATATTTGGCGACTTTTATTGTAAAGTTTGTGACATTTAGTTCTTCAGCTCGCGACTTTCGGCAACTCAGATCTGGCACCCCTGCTGGGGGGTAAAAGGAACCGCACTGAACATTAGAACCAGCTTAAAGAAGACAGGGTAGAAGTGTTTTTAACCAGGAACTTATATAATTTCATTGTATTTTTCAAACCACATTTCAAAATACCAATCGCATGTTTGCGAGAAAATCTCTGACATGAATAGTAACTCCACAGTCTGGTCTGAAGATGCATTATATATACTGAGGTACTAGCCGTAATATGTAGGTGGTCTTATTTATGGGTGAACTAAGTGCCTGGGGCCAGATTCACGAAGCAGTTACGCAAGCACTTACGAACGTGTACATCTTTCCTCAATCTCTCACGGCTTTGGTTACTTTTATTAAACAGTTTGCAAGTATGAAAACTTACCAATCAACTGTTGTTATTGTTATGAACAGCCTCCTGGTGCTTCGGCGTTCATTAACTGTTTAATAATTGTAAACAAAGCCGCCAAAGATTGAGAAAAGATGTACAGGTTCGCAAGTGCTTGCGTAACTGCTTCGTGAATCTGGCCCCTGACCTTCATCCATGTGGTTTAAGTCTCCCAAGATAATGGTGGGCTGACAGTAATGTTACGGTAGGAGCAAGTCATGTTTGGCCGTTAGGAACGTGATGTACCACACAAACTAAACCAGGAGTGAACATGGATTAACTTGATGGTTGCTATATATTTCAGGGAGCGGAGTTCTTAGCTGTTACTGATAGTCTTGGCATGTCTACTTTGCAGTACTCCCTCCCAGATGTACGATAGCGGTGGCAGCTTGCAACAGAGCCCCATTTTTCAAGGGGGCTCGGCCACACGCAAGAAGATCAGTGCTCCACAACCGCCAACCAGCATGAGAGACTTGTTCCCCCCAGCATCGCCCTCCACCTCTCCTGCTCAGTCACACTTAACACCATCCCCCAGTATGACTGTCCCCTACCCATCTCCCTCCCCCTCCTCTCCCAGCGGCTCTCTGGCTCTTAAGAGGAAGGCTCGACGGGCTCCCGCTCCTCCCCAAGCGGCTACTCCAAGAAGTGGTAGGGCCTCCCCTGCTAGCTCCATAGCCGACACCCTCAGCTCCGACACACTGTCCCTCTCCAGCATTGGTGCCCATACTCAGGAGAAGTCAGGCCATGAGGAAGGTAAGCGGCTTTATTGGTCATTGTGGGTTGGTGTTGCTTATTATGTTGTCATTTTGAATAGAAATATGAAGCCCAAGTTTGTAGCGTGCTTAGCTTTATGTTAGCGGTTTGTTTGTCCCTATGTAATTATGGGCCCTAATAGCATGCAGCTGATTCTGTGCTTGGCCCTTACCAGACCAGGATGAGGTGCTGAGTTGGAAAATGCAGAAGGACTTGAAAAACCACTCGAACAAGTTGAACGGCACCACAGATCAACAAGTTCCACCTCCCAAGCCCTCCCGGGCTTTCCAGGCTTCCAATAACCATGCGTGTGGGACAGGTTGGTGCTTGCTTGCTGTGTTTTTCTTTTTGCTGGTGCTGTTTATTGCTGTTTTGTGTGGGTACAGCTCTGAGCTGATACCATGCGACTCATTTCCAAAGCCAACATGGTATATCGTAAGTTGTACAAAGCTGAGCTGGTATGTTGTGATGTGCGTACAAAGCTGAGCTGGTATGTTGTGATGTGCGTACAAAGTTGAGCTGGTATGTTGTGATGTGCGTACAAAGCTGAGCTGGTATGTTGTGATGTGCGTACAAAGCTGGTATGTTGTGATGTGCGTACAAAGCTGAGCTGGTATGTTGTGATGTGCGTACAAAGCTGAGCTGGTATGTTGTGATGTGCGTACAAAGCTGAGCTGGTATGTTGTGATGTGCGTACAAAGCTGAGCTGGTATGTTGTGATGTGCGTACAAAGCTGAGCTGGTATGTTGTGATGTGCGTACAAAGCTGAGCTGGTATGTTGTGATGTGCGTACAAAGCTGAGCTTGTATATTGTGATGTGCGTACAAAGCTGAGCTTGTATATTGTGATGTGTGTACAAAGCTGAGCTGGTATATTGTGATGTGCGTACAAAGCTGAGCTGGTATATTGTGATGTGCGTACAAAGCTGAACTTGTATATTGTGATGTGCGTACAAAAGGTGAACTTGTATATTGTGATGTGCGTACAAAAGCTGAACTTGTATATTGTGATGTGCGTACAACGCTGAACTTGTATATTGTGATGTGCGTACAACGCTGAACTTGTATATTGTGATGTGCGTACAAAAGGTGAACTTGTATATTGTGATGTGCGTACAAAGCTGAACTTGTATATTGTGATGTGCGTACAAAGCTGAACTTGTATATTGTGATGTGCGTACAAAGCTGAACTTGTATATTGTGATGTGCGTACAAAGCTGAGCTTGTATATTGTGATGTGCGTACAAAGTGCGTACAAAGAACTTGTATATTGTGATGTGCGTACAAAGCTGAACTTGTATATTGTGATGTGCGTACAAAGCTGAACTTGTATATTGTGATGTGCGTACAAAGCTGAACTTGTATATTGTGATGTGCGTACAAAGCTGAGCTTGTATATTGTGATGTGCGTACAAAGCTGAGCTGGTATATTGTGATGTGCGTACAAAGCTGAACTTGTATATTGTGATGTGCATACAAAGCTGAACTTGTATATTGTGATGTGCGTACAAAGGTGAACTTGCATAAGCAGGCACAAAACCAAAGGGACATTACAGAATAATAGTGTGCAGAATGCAGGAATAATCTCTCAGCCTCCGGGGAACATTGTTAGGAATTTAAATTGCCTTTAAATAAATTTGACACATTGTGTGCGTACACTGAGGCCGAGAAAATCGACATCGTTGGAACCAGCAAAACGTGGGAATGAGAAAACAATAATTGAAGGGAAATTCCATCTTCTAGGATACTATCCACCTTTCAGAAAGGATAACAAGAAGAGCATGTAGTGTGATACTATATGTTAAAAGAGGACTTGACTGCAACCTGCAGTGAGGAATTAGCTACCATGGAATCCCTAGATTCTTTATAGTGCAGTATGGTAGCAAACTGACAGTGGGAGTATGCTACAGGGTAATGACTGTAATTCCAGCATTACAAAATTACAATACGTTACAAAAAATGTAATAACCAGCAATGGCAATGATTACAAATCTGCATAGAATGATAAATGATGCAGCTAAAGCCCATCTTCTCATAATGGGGGATTATAACCATGGGACAATGGATTTAGTGAGTCTAACATCACAGTTGGGAGGAAAGGGGAGAGGGGAGGAAGGGGGTAATTTCTGGACTTAGTACAGTGTTTCTTTCTCATGCAGCATGTGACAAAGCCCAGCCGAGTTAACACCATTGTGCTAACTTCAGAAGAGGGCGTGACCAATCAAATTCATGTTCCTTATTTTGAGGTTATCTTGATGATTTCGGGGCTTAGCGTCCCCGCGGCCCGGTCCTCGACCATGCCTCCTTTTTGTTACACATCCCCAGGAAGTAGCCTGTAGCAGCTGTCTAACTCCCAGGTACCTATTTACTGCTAGGGAATAGGAGCATCAGGGTGAAAGAAACTTTGCCCATTTGTTTCTGCCTCCACCGGGGATCGAACCCGAAACCTCAGGACTACAAATCCCGAGCGCTGTCCACTCAGCCGTCAGGCCTCCCTGTTCCCATGTAGGGAGAAGTTCACCCCCTTCATATGACACTATATCTTAAGACTTTATATTTTAGCCCCATTTCCAGGTTTCAAGCAGTCAAGGATCATTTGAAGGGAGTCATGAGTTACAAGATAGGTTTCTGCGTATATTTTGTATGACTTTTACCATACCATGGTGGTACAGTAGTAGAGTATGCAGCTGGCAGCGCCTTGGTTGTGGGTTCGTGTCACCTCAGAGCATCGGTGGATTTTCTTATAATATTAAAGATAATAACTAACTAGCGTGCATAATGACAAGATAAGGCTGATGATAAATAGAAGACTAGCAAGACAGTGGCAGTACACAGTTGTTGTCTTTATGTAGACTGGGTACTGGATGGTCTTGTAACCAACTCATTCTAGTGACCAACACTTCCTACCTCCTGACAATGCCAGATAAAAAAGAGTTTATTGAACTAATTAATGTCTTTTTGCCATGTAATCCTTCAAAATGTTCTCTATTGGTTGACTTTTTTTTATGAGTAGAACACAGAATTTCCATACACAATGTTAGCAAAGATATCTGTTGTTCGCAGGTATTTTTAGGCATGGGTCTATGAGCAAGAGTGAGGCAGGGGAGTGGCAGCGCAAGAAAGGCCCAGCACCTCCTCGACCAGTGCCGCAGAAGAGAGCCCTTAAGAAGTTACCCATGCGCATAATCCAACAGCAACTTCAGGATATTGAGATCAAGCAGACAGAGCTTGAAAGACAGGGTGTTCTGCTCGAGACTACAATTCGTACCCGCACAGAAAATGCACTAAACAACTCTGTGGAGGATGCAACTACTCCTAGCAGTGGGCCAAATAGTATAGAAGTAGAAGATATGATACTGCAGTTGTTTGAGCTCGTCAACGAGAAGAACGAGTTGTTCAGACGGCAGACTGAGCTGATGTACCTGTAAGTAACAGTGTCTCTTGTAATTAATGTTCATGCTCTACTTAAACCAGTAATTAGATACTATGTGCAAGTTTGGTATATGCAAAATTTATTGTACTGTAGGTACACGAGGCAGGTTTTAAACACCAAAATTTTGGAAACAAACGCTGAGTTTAGTAGTAAAGGTTGTGCAAGTTTGCGTATTTTATGGACATTTTGATATAGCTTCTTGCACCAAGGCACCTTCCTAGAAGTCTGCAAAACCTGCTGTACCTCAAGCCTATAATATTCAGTACACCAGTACAGTATGTATTTGTGAATGGCTTGTGGTAATTATTCTCGTCTACATTACTGATAAGTGACTGGGAAGGGGTGGGAGTATTTAGTTATAATATTCAGGTAGGCATTATATTGAGAGAGAAGTAGAAAAATGTACTTTGAGAGGTCTATGGAATACATTCCATTTTCTGGAGGGAGTCCTCTGGTGGCTCTATGTGGCTATCTTGCCAAGATTGCTCCAAACTAAAAGGTCTCACCAGTCATGGAAGGCTGGGGTTTTAGGTTAATCAATAATAACATTATTAGGCACTATTTCAGACTGAAATTGTCCCCAGGACTTTCATCAGATTAGTAGGGTGATTCTCTGGAAGGTTTGGCACAGGTAAACTAACATCTAGATCTACTGGGCTCCTGGTCTTTGCCACGGCCTGCTATCTCAGGTTGTGTGTTGGCTACAATGGGCTCTTTCAGCTATCCAATCAACAAGATGAACTCTCAGCAGTGTCAAAGCTGTTTGGGACTTCTTTGGCAAGATCTTGCTTTAAGGAGCAGCCGAGAGTACTGCTCCGTACAGTTCTTTTGATATTTACTCAAAGCCAGATTTCTAACTCAAAAAGTTTTATTAAATTCAAAGTTTTTGTCCATATACTTTTATTCATACTGTACATGTATTTCAAAGTTTTCTTAAATTTATAGTAATAATAATAACGAGAAGCTTGCACAAAAGAGTCATCCCTTCTTAAGTCCTGACGAACACATGTATAAGCAAGTGGACGGCATTGCCATGGGCTCCTTGCTGGGTGTCTTGTTTGCGAACGTTTACATGGGTACTATTGAACAGAGAGGTCTGGTCGGGTTAGACCTAAAACCCACCATCTACTGCAGGTATGTCGACAACATATTTGTACAAGTCCCGGATACTAAACAACTGTTGCAGTTGAAGGAAGCTTTCGAGCAAAACTCGATTTTAAACTTCACTTGTGTGATGGAGAGTGGGGTAAGCTGCCCTTCTTAGCTGTAGCAGTCATGGAAAGGAACGGCAGCTTTCATCATGCCGTATATACTAAGGAGACAAACATAGGGATGTGCCTTAATGCTGACACCGACTGCTCAGAGACACACAAACGGAGTGTTGTGAAGGCTTACGTCGACTGAGCTCTTACTCACAGCTCTGGGTGGAAGCAGGTGGATGTGGAGTTATGTAGAATAAGGCAGATTTTGGTCAACAATGGTTTCTTCAATGGTTATGTTGAAGCTATAATAAAAAGGAAGGTGGCGAGGTATGCAACAGGCAACGGAACAACTAATACCGCAATACCTGTACTTCCAATGAAAATGTTCTACAGAAACTTCTTCTCCATAGCCTACAAAGCAGAGAAAAGAGCCCTAAAAGAGATCATCGAGAGGAATGTTACCCCCAACTGACATCAACCAATAGATAAAACTGACAATATATTAATGTTGACTAGACCACACACTAGAAAGTGAAGGGATGACGACGACTTGGTCTGTCCTGGACCCTTCTCAAGTTGATTATGGCTTGAGTATGATTTGAGTATGGTCCAGGACGGACCGAAATGTTGTCGTCCCTTCACTTTCTATTCATCGCCTAACAATATATTATAAGAGTAGGAAAACCGCTAATTTGCTAATGAAGAATTCTCTGACACCAAGCAAAACGCCTGGAAAGAGACCAACATTGTTTACGCCTTCATGTGCCCACTTAAAAAAAAAATAAAATATGTTTATTCAGGTAAGGTACATACATACAAGTGATGTTACATTAATGGATCAATATATAGATAGAGCTAGTACATACAATGCCCAAAGCCACTATTACGCAATCTGTTTCGGGCAGGGAATTCGGGCAGCTTACAATCCCACTTGGGGATTGTAAGCCCCAACGAACTCAGTATATAGGCAAGACAAGTCTCTTTCTAGGCGTTTAACAATGCACAAACAACAGGGCTCCATCAAGGAACATATAATCACCACACACAACAAGACGATCACCAGGGATATTTTGACGAGCAACACCGAAATAATTGATAGATACAATAACAATAGAAGATCAGACATCAGTGATGTGCTGTATATCAAGAAATCTAGACCAGCCATCAATAACCAGCTAATACACAGTTACACTCTACCCACTTCAAGACCCCGGACCAATGCAGAAGCTGGACCGAAGGACCCTGCAACAAGAACAGAAGCAACCAGAAGAACATACACTGCCAATATGTCACACTCTTAATTAACTACCCCATTAACACCCCATTATATAGGACCCCATTAATACCCCATGTATGTTATTCAACTGTGTCACCTACCACCTCACCATTAGACGATATAATCAGGTGCTAACACAGAAAAATTTGTCTTTGAGAATGTGAGGCGAGACCTTCCGAAACACATCACTAGGCGCCAGACCCAAAAAATAAGTAAAAATGAACTTTGGAGAGTTAATTTTTAATCTTCCTGCTTCAGTGAAGAAAAACAAAGAATATCGAGAAGATTTGTGCCAGAATTGTAACAGTAGAACTGTTAATATAGAAGACCATAGATTTAACATTAAAAGTTGGCGTTCACTAGAGGAGAGGATACGCCCTTTGTAAAAATATGGAGCGAGTTGGTAGTTGACCTGAAAGGTTAGGGTCGTCACCCCCCCCCCCCACCCCCTACCCCAGGGATTAGAGCTCATGTGTTGGAAACAGTAGCGCCACCTGGATCCTGTGTCGAGACATCAAACTAGGATAACAATTTATGTATTAAAGAAGAATCAATCATGTTTCTTCATGTAGGAAGAATCAGTCATGTTTAAGTACTTATGTTAAAATTAACGTCAATTGAGAATAAAGAATAAGCCTCGTATGTTATCAAAGAAGCATTTGACTAAAGTAACAATATGGTATCTAGTTACTTGGAAAATATGTACCTACCAGCTTGCTTGTTAATTCATGTAAATTAGTGATATGCAAGTGCTATTGAATATTGTAATTAGCCTGGCTCAAGTATCTAGATAATTTCCCAATTGTTTTGGAATAATAAGTCACCTTCAGTGACGAGTACAGGAATTTTGTTAGTAATTTTCTTTGAAGATTAATTTGGCAACTAAACTTAGGTCAGTCTCACAAGAGGTCAGTAGAAACTGGATCAGTGTGGACTGGGTAGCAACTGGAGGCGGTACTGCTTCCCTGGAGCTGAGGCAGAACATCTAGGCCTGGCTGTGGTATTTTAAGGTATCTGTGTCTGATTAAGTGCAGTTGTAGAATCCACCTTATTTGTTGTAGTCAATTACCAATTGCCTCAGTTAGGAATATAGTCAGTTTAGGAGGTGTTCAGATAGGGCATAATAACAACATACTGGAGTGAACAATATGGAAGAAAATGCAAAATACGTATAGCCAGTGAAGAGTATAGGTGCCATAGGTACAATCAGACCACCTGTATGAACATCAGAAGTCTACGGTTGTACATCACCCTCCCAGCAAATATAAGAAATATTGCCATAACAAAAGTGGATGTCTTCAAGAAGAAACTGGACAGTTTTCTGCAAGAAGTGCTGGACCACTCGGGCTGTAGTGGATATGTGGGCCTGCGGGCCACTCCAAGCAACAGCCTATTGGACCAAGCTCTCACAATTCAAGCCTGTCCCCAGGCCACGATTGGAGAGTAGAAGAACTATCAAAATTCTATCCAGGTACAGTTGAAAAGTAATCATTGGCTACAAATCACACCTAAAAATACTTGAGGTTAAATTGTTTTGGGTTTGGCCAGTAATTGGTTGGGTGAGCACATGGAAAATGGACTGGTCAGGAGGACCTCAACAGGTCATATACCGGCTACTAGTTCAGTAATGTGTTGTCCCCATTTATTATAGGACAATATCAGTAACAGATTAACCTGGTAGCAATAGTAGTATATGCTATGGACTCTTTATTCACCTAAAAAGATGAATGAATTTGTGGATTACAGCCCATGTTTTGCACATTCACTAAATTTGGTTGGAAAATATCCTGCAGAATTTGATCAAGATTCAAGATGCATTAATTCTCTTTAAATCTGTAGAAATCCTGTACATATTTTTCTACTTCTACATATAGAAAGTATTTCCTTTCTACTGTGAAATGAACAAAAGTTTTAAAGTTTATTAGATTTTATTAAGCACTTGATACTTCAAACTGTTTATATCCCTGAAAGCATGTGTAAAGTTTGTTGGCTTTACTGAACATAATTGGTGACTTAAATTCATAGCTATTTTATTATGGCCAAAATGTGAAGCTCTTAGTTTGAACCAAAATGCTTAAAGTCATTTGCTCTATTTGAATCCCATCATTATTTAACACATTAAATGAAAGTAAATTAATTGATTTTCTGCAGCAAGCGTGAGAAACGACTGGAAGAGGAGTACGTGGAACTTGAATATCAGATCCGGTGCCTGATGCTCAAAACCCCCGCGGAGAAATCTGATGCCGACAATACTCAGGAGGAGGAGCTGATAGCACGGCTGGTGAAGGTGGTCGAGCAGCGCGACGAAATCATAAACTGCTTGGAATTGGACAGGTTACGAGAAGCACAGGAGGACGAGAGCATTGCCACACACATGATGCAATACCAAGGTCGGTATTTGGGCAGCCTGAGTTTCAACAAAATTTTATTGTGACTTCACATGTTTCTTTTTGTAGTACTGTACTGTGTTTAGCTGAACCTAGTGATTATATATTTACTTGTTTTTTGGCTTTCCTAATTTGCATTCCATATCTATTTCCTGTAATCAAAATGTTAGTGCATGTTAATTGAATGCCAGACGTGAACACCAGGTGTATATATACAGTAGTGGTATATTAGTGTCAGTCATTGTAATAATACCAGGAAGGCATAATTACCTGTGATTAATGCCTGGCAAGTAATAGAGTTGGAATCGTGCTCAAGTATAAGCAGGAGGAATCTACCTATACGGTATCTAAAATAAAGATTATAATATTAATATCGACATTATGCAATAAAAATATTGTATGGAATTTGATTATATTATGCATTTTCTTAGAACAGAATATTCATAAAGTTTACAAAAACATCAAAATATAATATAAAATCCTGCAACAGTTCTCTCATCATCCAGGTAAACTTGGTAGTAACATGCTGTATAAAATATCATGCAGTGAGCAACCACTTGCCCATATAAAAAAACTACCAGTTGTCTTCTTCCCCAAGTCATCGTGTGAGTCTGTGAGCTTTACTGAATTTTCAAAACTTCAGATCTCATCACAAGATTTACTCAGCCCCTCTGTCCCCAAGCAGGTGAAATTGGTTAGATTTGGTTTGGTTAGGTAAGGGGATTTCATCAGATTATGTACATAGTTAGGGCTAGAGGGTGACTGATTAGACAATAAAGTTTCCTATTGCCAGGGAAAGTAGGCGTTTTAGGCTCCTCGAACCCCCCCCCCCCCCCCTAGGCCATCGACTGGCCTTTTCCAGGCTGCAACTCACAACAGTGATCAAACTTCAACAAACTTCAACACATGTTTACTGCTAGAGCTTCCAGGATAACCATGCTTAGTATTTCCCTTTGTCTTTGTAAAGGACTTCTTGGATATATTCTTATCCATTTTTCTATCTATTAACACTTAAATAATATAAAGTTTCTGCCTGAAACACTATGCGTGTTGGTGGCTTTGCAAATGTGTAAAAATACCAATACTATATTATGAACTCTCACAAACCCATTGTGCCTTCTTGTAAATAAATAAATAAATAAATAAATAAATATATGTAGATGATGAGTCACGATAACATGGCTGAAGATATGATGACCAAACCACACGTCAGAAGATGGAGAAAAGATGACATTTCTGTCCGTCCTGGACCATTAGCAAGTCGTATGTGGACTTGATAATGGTCCAGGACGGACCGAAATGTCGTCATTTCTCCTTCTGATGTGCAGTTTGGTCATCATTAAATAAATGTATGACCCTCTAAACTTGGACCAGATTAATCGTCACTGAATTTGTGGGAGCTTGCTTTAATCCACCTCCAAAACTTTTGGTAGTTAGCAACTCACTAAATGTCTGACACTACTGTACTTGTGTTTGATATATTCTCTCGCCATTTTTAGCACTTGCAGATCTCTAGCTTTCATTTTTCTTGGGATACCACTCCTGTAGCCACCAACCCTCCCAAAATACACTTAGATATGGAAATTCCTGAAGCCTTCTGGACCAATAGTATTGTGATGGTGAGTCAGTGTGTAGTACAGTCATACAAGTGCAGTTACACGATGAGTTAGCGTAATTACCTAAGTGTAGTTACAGGACGAGAGCTACGCTACATGTGTGTGTGTGTGTGTGTGTGTGTGTTTGATAAGTGGGCGTTTGATAAGTGGGTGTTTGATAAGCGGATGTGCATGAAACTGTTAGATGCAATAGCAGTTTGAAAAACTATCATATATATATATAATGATGGCATTCCTCTATAATGGTATGTATGCAATAAATTAATAGTGGCTGCTAGTAATTCTCGGTAAAAAATAATGGCATCGGTTTGAAGAGAGTACTGTATAGAGAATTGGAAACAAAGTACAGTATTTTACTGTGCAATATACTCGTGACAATGATGCAATTATGAAAAGAATTAGAAAGAATGATGTCTGAATTTGAATGCTGTATCTGCAAGGAGGAAATTGAACTGGAATGCATACAAACCAAAACTTAAGACATTAGGGGGGGGGGCCAAGCTGTCCACAAGATGCATAAAGAAACACCACTCAGTGTCCTTCGTTTACTCTAAGCTATGTTTTATGTGTTGCTAGTGAAACATTTCACTCGTCTTAAGTGGAATGTTCTACTTGTAATAAGTGGAATGTTCTACTTGTAATAAGTGGAATGTTTCACTCACGATAAGTGGAATATTTCACTCTTGATTAGTGGAATGTTTCATTCATGATTAGTGGAATGTTTCACTTATGATTAGTGGAATGTTTTATTCATGATTAGTGGAATGTTTCACTCATGATTAGTGGAATGTTTCACTCATAATAAGTAAAATATTTCTTTTTAGGATAAGTGAAATGATGTATTCAGTAAAGGCTGGTCATTGTGTGGTGATATAAAAATACAAATTGTTATCTTAAAGGGGCTCTGTGTATGAAATATGATTAAATGGAGTTTAAATATTTGGGTACAACTTTCAGCAGGTATGATGGAACAGAAGCGGAGGTATCAAGGGAGTTCAGAAAGGTAGGTACGTTGCTGGAGTTGTACAGAGAATAAATGGAAATAAAAAGACGGGTCAGTAATTGGTATGGGAAGGAGACATGGAATGATGCATCCCACATTGTTGTATGCTGTGAAAGTAGAGGAGCACATGATGTTAGATGACTTACGGTATGGTATGCTGTAGTATACCATTGTCATTGGACGTTAGGGCTACTGGCATATCTAGGTCCTCATAGTTAGTGAGAGGCTCTTCATGTGTCCACCGATCCAGTGTTGTCATTAACCTGCCAGCAGATCAAGTGACATTTACATAGTCTGCCATATCCTTCCAATGTAATGGGAAAATAGGAATATAAATCGAGTTAGCAATAAGAAAAAAAAGATAGTTACAGTATCATTCAGGCATGACTGAAGATACAGTGTATATATATATATAGATATAAAAGTACCTGGACACTTGGAGAGGGTTCCAGGAATTCTTCTACTCCCCGAGTAGCATACTAAGCTCATATTAAAGCATGGAGAAAGAGGTATAAAGAAAATGATTTCAAGAATGCTTTGAACTTAATGAGGCAAGGACCTCTATGGGAGGAGGACAAGGAGCATGGGGAAGAAGAGGGTGATGCAGTAGGGTTCATACAAAGAGTGCTCAGATTCTCGCTGGGGTGAACCTGGAGCCAGTCCCTCATTTGAAGAAACTGTAACAATAGATCAGATTTGTTGTGTCGGTGTAACTGCCAATCGGAATAAGGGTAAATGTATAGTGAGATAGATGATGATATATGAATTCATCAGCATGAACGGGAGTGGCTTCCATGAGCCGCACACATCCTTCCTGTCCCCATCAGGTCACTAAAGGCACTGGCCAAGCCATAGAGAGGAGGGGATCCTTCCTGTCCCCATCAGGTCACTAAAGGCACTGGCCAAGCCATAGAGAGGAGGGGGGGGAAACATCAAGCTGACAATAGACTAATTAAGATGGTTTGGCATGCAAAGTCCTTGAAAGTCAATTTTAATACTATCTTCTCCCACTTTGTGCTACCCTCTATACATCGTTGTAAGGAATAGATACGAAGGTGATGAAGGATTATTCAGTATTCCCATAGACGAGGAGAGAGATACAAAGGTGATGAAGGATTATTCAGTGTTCCCATAGACAAGGAGAGAGATACAAAGGTGATGAAGGATTATTCAGTGTTCCCATAGACAAGGAGAGAGATACAAAGGTGATGAAGGATTATTCAACGTTCCCATAGACGAGGAGAGAGAGATTAAGCATAGAATGGTGAGTGCATGCACTTAGTATTCTGTACGGTGACACAAGTGCTTGTTGACATGCATGCCCTACTACACTTTATTGGGGAAATTTCTTAATACCTGTATATAGAAGATGGTGAAAGGTATCATCATTGCTTACAATACTGACCGTTCATCCATCAATATTTGATGTGCTTTTTGATTACCATGCAGGATGATGGTTCATGTATGCTAATGTAGAAATGCTTATGCTTTGTTCCTCTTCACACCTCCCTTCATATGCATCTTTCACATTTGGACTTTCACATTTCACATATTGTATCTGTCCAATACAGCTCTCTACTCCTCCATGCAGACATTTCTATCATACATATTTGCTCTGTCCATCTGGCCAGAGTGTTTTATCTTCCCAGGCTTTGTACTTGCTTAAATATCCCCCTCTCATTATTATTTCATGCACATTCTCTCTCCAGGTAGAAAACTGGTGTGCCTTGGTCATCCATAGAGATACTGCTGTGCGTGAAACATAAGGGAGTACCTTTACCTTAAATATCCCCCCCCTCATTATTATTTCATGCACATTCTCTCTCCAGGTAGAAAACTGGTGTGCCTTGGTCATCCATAGAGATACTGCTGTGCGTGAAACATAAGGGAGTACCTTTACCTTAAATATCCCCCCCCCCCCCCTCATTATTATTTCATGCACATTCTCTCTCCAGGTAGAAAACTGGTGTGCCTTGGTCATCCATAGAGATACTGCTGTGCGTGAAACATAAGGGAGTACCTTTACCTTAAATATCCCCCCCCCCCTCATTATTATTTCATGCACATTCTCTCTCCAGGTAGAAAACTGGTGTGCCTTGGTCATCCATAGAGATACTGCTGTGCGTGAAACACAAGGGAGTACCTTTACCGTTATTACTTTTGTGCGCGTTTTGTGTGCTTGTGCGCCGTGGTTGCATTTGTCAAAGGCTTTCGGGAAATCTCTTTCTTTTATATATTACACTTACATTTTTGCTTGTCTTCCAATGCATCCAAGACCATATCATAGTTGTCCTACTATAAAATGATATTGGTTATGGCTTGTGAACACACTTTCAACAATTTTCGTGATGGAAATGAGGCTGTTGATCAATCTGTCGATCAAGACTGTCAATCTGTGCCTTAGCTATTTGTGGATGCTTTGCTGCTCTTATAAATATGTTTACTCATGTTTTACAGCATATCTTATCCAGGGCCCAAGTTTTGTTACCCGACACTGAATGTCCGCCATTTTCTCTATCTATATGCCTCTTCAGATATTGTGACCAGAATGGAAAGCAATATTCTAGAAGAGAACAAATGAACAAATCCACAAGGGCCGTGACGAGGATTCGAACCTGCGTCCGGGAGCATCCCAGACACTGCCTTAATCGACTGAGCTACGACAGGGTAAAAGGGTTGAAACCGAAGTTCTACTGAACTTACTGGATCCCGTAGCCTCTCCGAGGCACAAACCAGGCTTTAACACAACCCCCCCCCCTGCACCCGAGCTTTTGTGAATTTGTTCATTTGATGCATCACGTTAGTGTGATCTCTGTGTGAGAAGAGAACAAACCATCAAGTTATATAAAAGTGAGGATAACACTCTGGTTAAACAGTCTAATTATTCACCAGTAAAGCTTGTAATTGTGACCTTTTCTGGAAGGCCTTCTGGAGGGAGCCGGTCGACCGAGCGGACAGCACGCTGGCTTGTGATCCTGTGGTCCTGGGTTCAATCCCAGGTGCCGGCAAGAAACAATGGGCAGAGTTTCTTTCACCCTATGCCCCTGTTACCTAGCAGTAAAATAGGTACCTGGGTGTTAGTCAGCTGTCACGGGCTGCTTCCTGGGGGTGGAGGCCTGGTTGAGGACCGGGCCGCGGGGACACTAAAGCCCCGAAATCATCTCAAGAAAGCCTTCTTCAGGAGCTCCATTGTGTTTAAGTGCTAGTAGATTCAAGCTAAGGAAACAAAGGTGCTGAAAAAATATTAGAAAGTTTTCTTTTGAAAAGAGTGAAGTAGATGGTTGGTAGACAAGTTAAATGAGAAGGTGGTGGAGGCAATAACCGTCAGTAGTTTCAAAGTGTTGTGTGACAGAATGCTGGAAAGACGGGACACCACGAGTGTAGCTCTCGTCCTGTAACTACACTTGGGGTAATTACCACTAAGCCTTAGGATCGTGTCAGGCCTCAGAGACCACCTGCCAACCTACTGGAAGCCAGGACCTGATTCTGGCGCTCTCAGGGAGGTACTCACCTAGTTGTGCTTGCGGGGGTTGAGCTCTGGCTCTTTGGTATAAAGGTGATGGGAGCTTGGGGATTAAAGATGAACCCAAACCGAGAAAAACCTAACAAAGTCAGACGAAAGAAAGCATTCCGCGAAAGAAAGACATAAAAACAAGGAAAATGGTTTTCTGTGGGAAAACATCTCTTGGTGTAATTCAGCCAGTTCCCACCAGATGATGGGTGTGGTCACCTGTGGTTTCATCCTGCAACCTATTTCACTCACCCAGTACTACAAAGTTCACCTGGCCTTTGTTGGGACCCAGTTGCCATATTTTGACAGAAATAAGTGTAGCTGGTTATTCCTGGAACTTTAGTTCTATGCTGTAGTATTGTTCTTATTCTCTACACTGCACGACTGTTTTATACCACCCACCTTGCGTGTTCCCAGTCTGCTATTTAGTTCTGCTTGATACCTGCTTGATGGGGTTCTGGGAGTTCTACTTCCCATGCCCGGCCCGAGGCCAGACTTGACTTGTGAGAGTTTGGTCCACTAGGCTGTTGCTTGGAGCGGGCCGCAGGCCCACATACCCACCACAGCCCGGTTGATCTGGCACTCCTTGGAGTAAATTATCTAGTTTTCTCTTGAAGATGTCCACAGTTGTTCCAGCAATATTTCTTATAGTCGCTGGGTGTTGAACAGCCACGGACCTCTGATGTTTATACAGTGTTCTCTGATTGTGCCTATGGTACCCCTGCTCTTCATTGGTTCTGTTCTGCATTTTCTTTCATATTGTTCACTCCATGCTCTGGCTTTGGTCTAGGGCTCTCTTCCTTGATTTATTGGCTTGCATCCACTTGCTCCATAAGACGCAGCTTCTCTACACCCCCCACCCCCGCCACCCTTATCTTCTGCCATCCTTTCCCAATAGTCAACATTTATCCAGCTTTTCTTGTTTTGTTAATGCAATGTTACTTTTCAGCAAAGCCTTTCTCCAAGGCACCACTCACTATTAGTAAGTGCTGTAGAGCTACTGCAAAGAAATCAAACATTGAGTGTAAGGAAATGCTGTCTTCTGGTCCCAGTAGCTCTCTGCTCTGTCTTCCTTTTCCTTTTCATGGGAATTTTAAGGGTTCCTTTTGGGCTGGTTATGTATGGTAGCCTTTGGGCGGTAGGACCCCTGGTACCCTGGTCTGCCATATGATGGACAGGGATTAAGCAAAGTCAGGCTTGGAATTGTTTTCCCATTTAAAAAACTATTGTTTGCTTTTGTTTTCCCTTTATTATTCTATCAAGTAGTGATTTATTTCATTTGACTTTCTAGTCAGTTTTCCTCGGTTTCTACCAAGCTTTTCTCACCTCTTTGGAGAGCCAGATTGTGATCCAGGCTCATGGGAGATCAGCTTGGGTTTCCAAGCCCTGACATGATCTAACATGATGCTAAGGCTTAGCAGTACTGGCACTTATGCACTGGTAAGCTACTGAGGACAAACCAAAAAAAGAGGAACTCGTTACATTCAGTGCTTTATTTTTTCTGCCGCTGTGTACTTTGTTCTCGGCTTAAAACTATGTGTTTGCATTTCCCTTTTGTCTTCAATTTGAATTACTTACTATAAATTTATCCATTTCTGGAAGACATAATTCACTACTCTAGAGGCTGAAATATAGGAAGGCTGCAGGTGTGGATGTTGACATGCAAAAATGATTAAATGCAACAGTGAAAAACATATAGAATGGATATAGAAATTCTCCAGAAAACATGGGGGAGTGTGAGAAGTGGCAAGAAAGTGGTCATCTGGCCACAGTTATCAGACTACATGAGGACTGTGGTCTGCAGAAGAGCTTCAGGTACCGTGATTTTAGTTTAATGGGTGTAGTGGGTACAGCGTACGGCAGAAGGATTTTTTTTTAGTTATTTTTATTGTTATTATTATTATTATTATTATTATTATATACTGTATATACAAGAGTTCTTACATTCTTGTACTGCCACTAGCACTCATAGTGTTTCGGGCAGGTCCTTAATCCTAATTTTCCCCGCAATACGACCCGCCAAATCGTTTAACAACCAGGTACCCGTTCACTGCTGGGTGAACAGAGGCTACAGTCAAGTATTGGCACCCGGTCACTCCTTCCCGGCCAGGATAAGAACCCAGGCCAAAGTGCTCGTGAAGTTCAAAGGCTAGGGCTTTACCACTGTGCCGTGGAGACTGCTATAAGACCACTGCCACTTTATGTAAAGTTTGCCACAGTAGCCGTCTGCAACAGTAGCAGTCTACCGCGGTAGCAGTCTGCCGCGGTTGCAGTCTGCCGCGGTAGCAGTCTGCCGCGGTAGCAGTCTGCCGCGGTAGCAGTCTGCCGCGGTAGCAGTCTGCCGCGGTAGCAGTCTGCCGCAGTAGCAGTCTGCCGCAGTAGCTGTCTGCCGCAGTAGCTGTCTGCCGCAGTAGCTGTCTGCCGCAGTAGCAGTCTGCCGCAGTAGCAGTCTGCCACAGGTGCAGTCTGCCGCAGTAGCAGTCTGCCGCAGTAGCAGTCTGCCGCAGTAGCAGTCTTGCCGCAGTAGCAGTCTTGCCACAGTCATCCGCACTTTCTCTTCCTTTCCCTTTGGGCGTGGTTCACCCTTCCTCTGATCCTTCCACCCTCCACTTCCAGCCCAAAAGTGTTGGGGTCATGGCAAGGTTTAGTTCAGGATGTGGCTCTGGAGTTTGCTACTTCCAATTTGGGTGCGGAGGCAGTTGAACCTTCCAGTACTGCCGAGGCTTCTGGGTATTCCTCTTAGCCAATCTTTTCGTCCTTTGAAGCCTCTTAGACTCCACTTATCCTGGGCGGGGAGGGTGCAGACGATGGCTCTGACCCAGGCCCCTCCTTTGCAGCCCTCAAGGCTTTGGGGAGTAGGAAATAGGTCCTTGGGTACAATTCGACTCTGTGGTTCCTTGTGCGTTGAGGGTTGTTACTACCTCGGCTCCATTTCACAGCCTGTCTTGTGCATTGTTTCACCTTTAGCTTGCTCATGTGCCACCTGAACTTGCTTGGTCTCTAGACCACGTTCTTTCTTTTCTTTCGTCTACTCGGTTAACGGTATTCCCTGTGATCCAAGATTAAATGTTTTTCTTGGTTTCTCTTGCCTCTAGTTGTGGGAGTTTCATGCTCTCTTTGGCACTGGGGATTTTGTTCGTTTGACCCTAGTGGGCATTTTGTTCACTTGCAGCTGGCTCCTCTTCTGGTGAAGAATGAGTCTGAATGAGGCTTCTGAAGGGGTCCTATGGTCATTGATGCTTGGTTGGTCCAGCCAAGGGTGCATCTACAGTTTCATGCACCATTATGAATCACTTACTATTCTTGGCGAGTGTAATAATCTTATAGATGGTTATCAGAGTTCAGCCTAGTCACACTTACACTAAATTCTGACAGCTTGTGTTGAATCGATAATAGTCTTCGTATTTTGAATGTTTTTACCATGGATTTTTAAAGTGCAATGTTGTATTAGGCTGTCAATAACATTACTGTATTTGTATCATAGAATGTATAGAATATTGGTACACACATTCGTTTCACTAATATCAGTTAAATGTCATATATTTTGAACAATAAAACATACTATTCTTGCTGTTATTGCACTACATATATACACACGTTATACTGTGTATAACTACATTTATGTGCACCATAACAAACCATTAAACTGATCTGGTGGGTGCAGACAGCATTGCGCCACCGCACACTAGTCTGCTGAAGACACTACCTCACTCAGCAAAATTCCTCCTTCCAACATAATACAAATCTTTAATTTTAGGCATAATACTGCTACAGTATTATCAGAATTTTGGTCACTAAATCATGAAAATTAATAATTTTCCACAAGTTTATCTTGTAAAGGAACCAGAGCTGCTGTTTCAAGATGCTTAGATGAATCAAATAATGGCAGAGTGCTATGGCTGCCTATCTGTATGCTGTGAACATCATAAACAACATTGTGTTCACTGATATCTGAACAATGTACACAATCTTTATCACAGTCAGGCTCTTCTATGATATTATCATCGCAAAAGAATAGTATTTACATATATATTTGATTATTTTTAAGTGATGCTGTGGTCACAAGCTGAACAGTGGGACTATTAGCTCGTGCTGCAAGTGTCTACCTTGGTTGCTCGCTCAGTACTGAGGTCTTCACACCCAGGAACGGAGCCCTTAATTTTTTTATTCAAAATGGCACCTGTTTACTGGAGCTCCGAGAAAGTTGATGTGGGTCACTTTACTCACCTAATTGTGCTTGCGGGGGTTGAGCTCTGGCTGTTTGGTCCCGCCTCTCAACCGTCAATCAACAGGCGTACAGTTTCCTGAGCCTATTGGGCTTTATCATATCTACACTTGAGACTGTGTATGGAGTCAGCCTCCACCACATCACTTCCTAATGCATTCCATTTGTCAACCACCAAATCAACCAAATCATATGTCAACCACTAGTGTATCAGCAGGAATGTTAAATCTTACACATTACTCTTAAACATATATATGATATTATCAGTGCAGTCATTTAGGCCAAAATCATATGTACACTATATGATTTGTGTAGTGCGGACAGTCAGGCCTAAATCTCATATACTGTATATGATTAAAAGGACATTCACAAATTATTTGGTTTTCTTTCCAGAAAAACATATTGATGGAATTGAGAATGGCAATAGTTTACAAGAATCCCCAAAGAAGAAAAAGACACTGAGGTTACCCAAGAAGAAGAAGAAGAAGAAAGAAAAGAAAGATAAAAAGGGTTGCAAGACCGATGCTGATAAAGACGTAGATGAAACTGAAGTAACAGAAGTGAAGAAGAAGAAGAAGAAAAAGAAATGGTTGTTTTAATTTATTTGATGACGCTGTTAGTCACTTCCTTCAAGGAAGACTCCCTGTTAAATAAAGATCACATCAACGAGGTTTAAATAATAGATGAATTCAATGCAAAATTGTATTTAACTATGATATAATCTTCCCTCAACTGGCAGAGTTCTTCAGGGTCAATGTGTGTTTAGTAATACTGTACTTAATAGTATAATTTTTAATGTGTCAGTTAATACTCACAATTGTACTGTTAGTAAACACAGGAGATTTTCTGCTCCTGTTATCACTTGCGCATACTGAAGGCTCCGCCACTGACGGCTGTTGTTGAAGGGCGTTTCGCATTCCAAGTTATCTTAAGAACTTTAATGGATCGATTAAAGTTATTTGAAGGCAGATTTGCTCCTGTTTAAGCAGTAATTTAGTCATAATGTTAAATTATTGAAGATATTAGGAAGAAATGAGTCATTGTGCCCCCTGATTTAGCTATACGTCTTGTAGCCTGCGAGGCACCGGCTGGTCTCCTTGTAAAGTGGCATCCACCGCATATTTATTGGTTTTAATGTTTGTAAATAAAATTTACAATATTTTATGAGTACTTAGATGGGTATAGATTTTGTTTGTACATTAAACCAGCCACAAGAGCATCACTGTTAAATAATAGATTTGTAGATTAGAAAACAAGAGAGGTTATATTTGAACCCTAGTAGGCAGTGCACATCAACCTTTTCCTTTTGATTGTGAGCTATTTACAAAATTACTTAAGGGATTGTTAAAAGCCTTAATTTTACGATGTTAATGAAAATAAGTTGTTCTATTAAATTAATTAACGCTTTCACATTCCGATAACACTAAAGCGCGTCATCCATATTCCAACAGTAAACGGTTTGATGATGCTAAGACGCATCATCCGATTGCTAGTTCCTGAGCTATTCTATTTGCATCAACCAGTCTGAAAACTTATGAAAAATCACTGTTATTGTGTGGATAGAGCGTATCTAGGGCATGAGTAGACCAACCAGAGGGCTTCCCACTTGCCCACGAGACCTCACTTGAGACAAACATTCATCACTGTTGTGCATAATTTGTTATAAATTCACTTCTTGTTGTTGCACCTATTCTGTAGAGAATCCACTTGTGAACATTGTGACACTAAATTTGTAGTTATAACCCTACAAATAACTTAGAAAATGCAAAATAAGTGTAAACATTGTATGCATCGCTGAGTGGGACCCCGGGGAGCCCGACACTGCTCAGTTATGCACCGAGAGACCAGATTGTCAGCGTGTTAGTTGTAGTTCAGATAATACAGAAACCTTTTAGTATTTGTAGCAGTTTGTCTTGTTAATTTGAAAATCAAGCACTGTGAGGGTAAAGTTCTGAGCCTGTTATGTTAAAATAACTGAGAGAGGAGCTGATACACATGTCAGGCTGCCTGGAAACTGCAGCTGATGTCATCTAGTGATAAATTCTTCTAACATTTTCTTTACTGAGATGTGATACAGTAAAACACTTCCAGATTAGCGCACAGTGGCTGTAACTCGAACTGCCAAGTTTAGCTGTGTTCTCTGATGATAAATCACTGTAGCCATAAATAATAATGCTGGTTGAGGAGCAATATTTGTACTGGATTCCTGTATTTGTAAACAGATGATGGATGGGTGCACTCTTTTTGCTTTATTGGTTCAAAGTTCAAGTTTCCTGGAACAATAATCTGAAGATTTGGTTCTTGAGGTAATCTTGAGATGATTTCGGGGCTTTAGTGTCCCCGCGGCCCGGTCCTCGACCAGGCCTCCACCCCCAGGAAGCAGCCCGTGACAGCTGACTAACTCCCAGGTACCTATTTACTGCTAGGTAACAGGGGCATTCAGGGTGAAAGAAACTTTGCCCATTTGTTTCTGCCTCGTGTGGGAATCGAACCCGCGCCACAGAATTACGAGTCCTGCGCGCTATCCACCAGGCTACGAGGCCCCCTTGGTGCCAACTTGTGTGACGTTTATGATCAACTAAATGCTACTTACCAATACTGTAATTGAATTTATTATTATAGTATATACTTTTGTTCACTCAAATAATTTTGGTTTACATGTGTTGAAAAATCAAATGCATTGCAAATATTTATATTTTATTTTGAGTTTTAAGAGTTCAACTTTGTAAAGCATTTGTTACACAGATGATTGTTAAATCATATTAAGATATTGAGCTTCCAACAATGTAGAGGTTGACTAATTGTTTTCCATTCTTAAATCCTTGCCCTATGTTCATTCATTCCATAACCTATTATGTAATAATAGCCAAGCCCGGCCTTCGTCTAGAGATAAGAACTTTTATATCTAAATGTTAAAACAAAACACATTTCTTCTGCTCAACAAGTGAAAGTATATTTTGAAAGATCATTACAAAAAAAAAATCTGCAGTAGAATGCAAGGTCACATTTATTATGGTGCAAGTACCTATTAAAGTCTATAGTTTACTAATATTATTAAGTGCACGGGATTATTTTTTCTACGAAATCGGTCATTGATCAGTTAATGTTGTGTAGGAATGTGATTAGACATCTTCAGAGAGGTGTTGGTTTCCTAAATTGTTATATTTCACATGCAGTTCCATCACCTATTGTGCAATTTTATTGACAATACACCACACTTATGCAATATTCTTTTATTTAATGAGTATCAGTGTATATTCTGCATTATAAATTGTATGCATCTACAGGGGATGTTTTATGTATAAATAAGCTTTTTATAGTAAATGGTTTAAGTTAGGGAATAAAGATTTAATTTGGTAATACTTTTTTAATTTCATTTTCAATTAGTTCCCACATTGGATCACACACACCTGCTTAATATATCTTAAGACTAATGGACATTATTATTTGTTCTCTCATCCATTATATATCTGCTAGGTTTCTGACAAGATTTAATAATATAACATTTTTAGTTACTTTTCAGTCTTCAGAAGAACTGGTGGAAAAGTTATGACTTTCCTCTTACTGTTGTGATGTACAATACAATACAATACAATTTTATTTAGGTAAGGTACATACATACAATAAATATTTACAAGGATTGTTTGACTTATAGGTAGAGCTAGTACATACAATGCCTAAAGCCACTATTACGCAAAGCGTTTCGTGACTCAGTAGTGCGGCTATACTGGGCAGATGGAATGTGACACTCGCTTCGCATTGGCCTTTGCCGTTTGAAAATTGTACAAGAGTGAAGGAATACTCGGACAAAAAATTAAGACTAATATAAATATGAACAAATATGAAAAATACACAAAACCCCTGATTGAACACACTTGGCTAGCACACACGAGAAATAATAATAACAACACATAAATTAATTGACTTTAACACAAAAATAAGGGTGACACTGAAAGTATTTACATAAAAACACTTAAAACCTGTGCATGAAGAAGCAGGAGACAAGCGATGTGCGGAGGCTGTAGTGTTGATTTCATGGCCACCTGATGAGAGAGACTGCCGAGGTGACCGAGGTCATGGGTATTTATACCCCTGATGGCGACGTTACATCCTTTGTCACAGAGGCCCGGAGCGAGGAGCTGGCGGCATAACAGGCGGTTACCTAGATGTAACAAGGAACTGGCAGGTCTTGCAGTCGCCCACCTGCCTGGGGTGCTCGGGCTGGGTGAAGGGTATACTGGTGGTGGTGTCCAGACATTCGTCTGGGTTGAACTCCATACCTGTCATAATACGCGGTATACAGAGCGATGAATAATGAAGATAAGAAGGAAGAGGCAGTTTCCTCTGCTATGCTGGGGAATTATGTGACACTAGATCTTAAATTGTCAGAGAGTGTACATGCTTTCATCACATGCATTGTTTAGAGGAATTTATTATATTTACTAAATTTTTGGCACTGTAAGAACAAGTTCATTAGCACCATATAAACACAAAATTTATCCAACTTTTGGATTAAGTTCACTTCTTCAACAGGAGTAGTCAAACCTGAAGGGAACAAAGCATTGTGTTTTGACAGGATTAATGCTGCCTTCCTGAGAGGACGGAACACAAATTGTGTTCTTTGGTCAGAACACCAAAAATCTTTGATCAAATATGATGAAGGTACTTATAGCCAGCTCAATCAAAACACAAAATAGCCGATGCCATGGATACTGAAAATGTCAACAAGATAGAATAATTTCAAGGGCTTCACTCAGGAGGAAATTAGAAATGCTGGCTTTATGAGCAGATTAGTGAAAATTGAAGATCTGCTAAGGATTCATGAAGAAAAACTTATTTCATTAGAGAAATTGAAAATTTAAAAAGTAAAAAAACTTTTTACAAGAAATCGTTTTTCAGAAATTATTCCAGTTGGTACTGAAGAATGCAAGAAAATGCAGTAGACACTTAATACTAAAACTATACATGGATAGGTAGTAGTGGGGGATTACTCCGGGCATCGGTGAGGGCCGCCTTTCTGGCATTTGCCTCCCATATTTCATCGTTATACTGTCTTCCCAAGAGACTTAAGGACTAACTCAGGTAGACTAACGCCTAGTAAAACACCGGTCCTGAATGGCTGCAAGGCCCCACGAGACCAGTGGGCCTTATCTGTACAGCTGTCCTTACCACTCCTAAAACTCCTACCAGAAAGGCTCAAGGATACTACAGTCTTCCTGAATTGGATGCAGTTGTTTTTTACCCCATACCGCAAGGAGCATGTCTGTTCTTCCTTGATGTAGTATCCTTGTACCCTGGTATACCACAAAGGGAAGCGGCGAGAACGATATCAGGTTTCATTGATGAGAAAAAGGGAAGGATTGGACAGGAGCTCATGCAAGCAGGTATCAAGAGACCCCCATCCATGGTATTGTTAGAGGAAGCCATACTCCATGTCATGAGGGATATACTGCTCCAGTTTGACAGGAGCAGTATATCCCTCTGTACTGACACAGGCATGGCCATCGGAGCCTCCATAAGTGTACTGTATCTGAAATTTTTGTGCACATAGTCTGTTGTTTCACAGACTATGTACAGGCCTCTATCCTGTACCTAAGATGTATAAATGATATCTCTGGGGTAATGACAAGAAGCATACATGGTGCATGAGAACCTTAATTTCACTCTAGAAACCAGCGAGACCAGCCTCGCCCTTCTAGATACGCTGGTTTACTTGGTTGAAAACCGGGTTCTATAGACGACAATACACTATAAACCCACTAACCTCCACACACATCTTTTCTTGTCCAGCCACCCTCCAGTCCTCAGGAGGTCACTGCCATATTCTCTCGCAATCCAAGTACAGAGAATAGCAAGCGATGATAAGTTTCGAGAGTCACTCTCGGTCCTATGGGGTATTTCAGATACAGGGGACACCCAGAAAGGACCCAACAGGATGCCAGTTGGATAGTTAACCAAAAGGATAGAAGGACATGGGTAGAAGAGATACTGCTGACAGACTAATTCTTCCTTAACTCTACATTCTGGACATGGTTGGTCCTCTATGCTAAGAGCTCAATAAACTATGGGCTTGTCTGACAGACCAATAAGGACCACCTATCCTGGCAGAGGCTCCCCTAGACACCCCTTATGGTAAGTAATGGTAATGTCTTCTCACAGATATACTGTAATAACATACGATAAAAACCCACACTTGTGTATTTGTGAAATTTATGTAAAAGATATTACACCAAGTCTTTCGCACTCGCCTGAGTGCTTTGTCAAGGTCTGAGTATGTGGTAAGGACAAGACTTACATCTCAATACAGTATCTAATAACATCAATTTTATGTTTACATAAATTTTACAAATGCACAGTGTGGAATTTTAACCCCCTATGGTTGCATGGAAATGCGTAAGTCACTAGGAGATGGCCTGGTAAGAGTAAAATTTCCCAGGGAGACGTAGCCTTTTTAGTATTATGCCAGGGTTGAAGAAGTTCCTCATTGATGAAATCTACACCTGCTACACCAGTGGATAGCTAGCTGTTGGAAGATTATGAACATTGTTGAAGAATTGACCCCACTTTGTCTCTGCACATAGAACCCATGACATCCATCATTGGGATATTGGGATACACCCTTCAGCAACTCCTTGGATTACCAGGACTACCTTGTTCGTTGGTTTAATAGTAAGAATTGCAAAGATTTGTCAATTTTTGGTTGGAAGGATTGAGAAAACCTACCTAACCTAAATAGACCCTTAGGTGAATATAACTAGGGTTGAAAAGGTTTATTGAAATAAACTGTTAGAACTTTGTTTTTCTGCGTAGGATTGAATGAACCTACCGAACCTAAGTAGCTCTACATAGATCCTGAGATGAAGTTAACTGTGGTCAGTTGAAATACAGTGTAGTAAGTATATTATGTCAGTAATATATTTGCTCCAAACTCTCATTAGCTTAAGTGCAGATAATGAGACAGATCTGTTATTTATTCTTAATCCACTAATTACAAATTCATACCTCTTCCTGAATTACAGTTAACACTTCTTCCTTACCTGCTAGAGGATGGCGAGGTGCAGACCGATTATAGAAACCAATCGACAAGCAAATAATCGTCTGATTACAGGCTATTCATGCCCGTGCCACCATTTTGATGGCTTAATCTTCATCATCAATTAATCAAATAATTAGTCTAATTTCAAGAGTGGTTCAGTACAGACATCTTCAATATTCACCAACAAGAATGTAACACTTGACGTGTCAAGTTCTTACCCTCACAAGACACTTCAGCTTCGACACAGATTCCTGGTGGAGGCGGAAACAAATGGGGAGAGAGTTTCTATCACCTTGATGCCCCTGTTTACCTAACAGTAAATAGGTGCCTGGGAGTTGGACAGCTGCTATGGGCTGCTTCCTTGGGGTGTGTGTGTGTGT